ACTATGGTACCAAGACTTTATGAATTTCAGCACAGTTCTAGACTGGCATTGAGATTTTATCAATTTACAGTTGAGTTGGCTAGATTTAACCATAAATTCTATGCTAACAATTTCTTTTCTCACAATGTCAATTGCTATCTGCAGTCCTCCTGATTACTCTTTTTGTTGTTGTCATTAGTAATGTTTCTGTTTCTAATTATTCCATACCCAGTAACCTCTTGTGTGTTAGTGGCTTTACTAGCTTGTATGGGGTGATACCTGATATTAGTCACTAGATCTCTATATCCATTAGATGAGATTCATATATTTTGCTTTGAAGACTTTTCCATAGCATCTTTACTTCAGCCATCCAAAATTAATGGATGACTTGCATAACTGAACAAGAATTAAGATCTAGTTTCATTGAACCAAATTCTAGGTCAGCTGCTAAAATGTTACTTCATTATGTTGGGTGAGACAATTTTTCTCTCAAGAATCTATCTTACATATCTATAAGTCTACCATTCGTCCATGCTTAGAATATTGCTGCCACATATGGTCCGGTGCCCCTGCTACTTACCTTGAGCTTCTTGATAAGATCCAAAGAAGTATCTGCAATATTATTGATCCTGATCTGGTGGCTCAGCTCATATCACTTTCTCACTGCCATAAGGTTGCATCTCTATATCTTTTCTATAAATAATTGCCTGATAATTGTTTGAATAAGCTTTTCACTGTGGTCCCTTGTCTTTATAAATTTAAGTGCAGTATTAGACTGGCATTGAGATCTCATCTATTTACAGTTGAGCAGGCTACATGTAGCTGTAAGTTCTATGCTAAAAGTTTCTTCATTCACACTTCTCGCTTGTGGAACTCCCTTCTGGTTCCATGCTTTCCAGCCAACTTTAATCTGCAAAAATTTAAATGCAATGTTAATCGCTATTTACTGTCCACCTGATTACTCTCTTCTCTTTCTGTTCATCATTAATATTTCTGTTCCTAATTCTTCCACACTAATTGTGTTTTAGTGACATTACTGCCTTGCTTGAGATGATTCTGATTTTAAAAAATGATCAGAGAGGATGTAAAAAAAAATGAATGAGAAGGAAGAAAAGGAGCCCAAATCACAGAAAGATGACATTAAAGGAAAAGCAAAATTATGAATCAGCAAGAAAACATGCAGACAAAGTGAATTCATGAGGAATAAAACAAGCTTTCTGCTGATATGATAAACATATGACCTTATATCAGGATTGCCACATGTTGCTTGTACATGTGTAAGTGTGTACATTTGTATGTTAATGGCTGTACTTGATGACCTCAACCCTCAGATGATAGTAAGAGAAGGTGAGGGCACTATTTCAAGTCAAATATTTCTTAATTTCAAATTCTCTGTGTTATGTATACTGGAATGGCTGATTGAGAGAAATTGACCTAGCCATCCTAATATAAGCATTATCATACCCAAGAAATAGTAATACTTTATTCATGGGTACAGACAAGGACAATTTATATTTTTAGAGACATGAAGTAAACAGGTTTGTTCACACAATGAATGAGATGTTCATTAGAAGATATAGAAAAGAGAAGTGAATTAAGGTCTTACTTAATAGAGGACTTGGTCAATGAAGTCAAGTTACATCATTGGTCAATAAAAATCACATCACTGAAGTGACTAGGCCATGGATAGCGAGAGAACAATAAAGCTGGTGTAAATGGGTAGTTGTTTTGAGAGATTGGCATTAACTGGCCAGGCAACTTAAATTTTATGCCTTTTATCAGACTATCATAAGATGCATCTTTTACCCTTTGTTTATAAATTATAGCTGAATCAAGGGAAAATAATTACAATTTGAAGACCAACACACAAAATGTGTAAACACTGCATGAACCAAGTAAACAAAAAGTGTCCATTCACAAGTAGTGAAGAAAGTAAAGTTCTTGGTAATTTTAATTTAGACACCAATAAGAGAACTAGTTTAATATACATAAAATGGAAATGAAAAAAAACATTAATGCAGTAGACATTAGGGTGATCTATCCTGACAACCAAACCATATCACAGTTTGTTTTTAGCACATCTGGTACTACACAGGATTGAAAATTCATTGGAGTATCTACATCAATCCATGTAGCATCTAAAATGGCAGGCTTTAACCTGTCTAAAGAGATATTCTGGTGTATATCTTTAACACACAGTAAAATACTTGAGATGCAGGGTGTGTGATGTAGTAGAATCACCTCAAAAGTGCAGCTGACACAAACAGGCTTTGTTATGATATTTTTATGTACATAACATGAAGGATTTTAATTTTTTTTTTTGCTTGACCCCTGGAAAAAGAGCAGCCAAAGGAAAATTTGTCCAGTTTACTTTTTTCATTTTTTTATCCACTCTTGCATTTCCAATATTTTGGCCAGGATGTCTGGCTCAGAATCATGGATGCTTGACATAGAAAGTGTTCATGTTGATGTTAAATCTGTAATGTTAGTCATAATCTCTGCCAATTTCTTCATGTGACTCACTTTACCAATGGAGGTTAAAACAGTTTGAAATTGTGCCAGATGGCATTGGGAAAATATGTAATGTGTAATTCTGTCATTATTCTGGCTACTAATGAGATGCTATAAACAGTAAAGTAACATTGCAAACTTACTCATTCTTATTATTTCTTTAGTAGAAGCAATTTTATCCTGTGAGAAGTGGATGTTCTGATAATGTATCCTTCAACATTAAATAACTTAGTGAAGGGATTGTCTACTGGTGGAGCATAATGATACTTCTTACTTCTACAGTTATTTAATGTCATAATGTAGACACTGCTAATGTAAAATTATGAGTCTGTGAAATAACACTCCTAATCTCATAATATGCCTCAATTAGTGCAAAGTACAAAGCTGGATCTAATTAAATAGGACAAATTTATTTCACCTAAAGCCTTTATTTTATCCCCTACTGTCAAAGCTTCTGCTAAATGAGTAAAAGGTTTTGCTAGGCCTAAATATAATGTGTATTAAATGGTGTAAAGGAGATAACAAGTAGATCATATGGGTGAGAAAAAGGAATTACTACTATGTGGCTTGTAGCTGCAACCAACATGACAAAGATAAAAGGAACAGAGCTTAATTACAGTTGTAAGGTAAGGATGTTTGGGTAGCAGATTTGAGATGGAATAAGACAAAAGCAGCCATAGTGAATTTCAAGTAACAGCTGATTAACTGATACATACAAAATAAAACATATACTGGTTATAAAAGACATATTCCAAAGAGCTTCTTTACCAGAATTTTTCAACACGACACACTGTGCCATATGTCTTCAAGGATAAAGGCATTGGTTAGATCCAGTGACAGGACCCAAAGAGTGTGAGTTCAATACCCGGTTAAGGCAATGGAGAACTTTCAGAGGGAAATTAACAGGAGATAACTGATAACTGACCTCCATTAAACATGGTACATGGAACTAGAACAGTCTACCCCAGTGAGTGAAATAAAGGGTTCAGTTTGACATTCTAACCACCTGAAGAAGGCCGGAGCGTACAACGGCTGAAACGTAATAAATATGGCGACAAAGATGAAGACAATAGTCCGAATAATGTAAATAATGTATATGATACACTTGTTTTCAAACACTATATGTATATCTGCTTACAGAGAGAGGACTAGCATTTATAAAAAGTTATAGGTGTTATTTAGTACATGCAGAATAGCATTAATTATTAAATAAAGTTATTTCACTGATTAACTCTAGCATTCAATATAAACTTGTCAGAGAGAAAATGATAGAAATCTTACACAATCCAAAATGCTGTTGTTTGGGAAGTCACACAATATTAGATAAACTTGTAGTTAGATAAAATGCTTATCATGTCAGGGGCACAAATTATTGGAATGTCTGGTTGAGAGAAATTTACCTCACCATCCCAACATAAACATGACTATATCTGCAATACAGTAACTCTTTGTTCAAAATTGTTTAAGAGAAAGCATTTCATTTATATATTTGCAGACTTGAAGTATTCATTAATTTGTTCATGCAGTGAATCAAAAGTATAGCAAATAGGGAAAAGAGAAGTGAATTAAGGTCTTCCTTGATAGCTGACTTGGTCATACATCATGTCAGTGATATGGCTAGGTCATGAACAGTGAAAGTACAAGAAAGGTTGGCATAGATATGCAGTCATTTGGTGCACATGGCACATCTCTTAACCTTAAACTTAAAAATTATAGCAGAGTAAAAAGCAGATAATAAAGTTTTATAAAGCTACAAGTATATAATATATATATATATATATATATATATATATATATATATATATATAACAATAAGGTTATAACTAAAGTAATAACTTTAGTTAACCAAGTTTAACTTCTCAAATATTATGAGCTAAAAAGGAACACAATGCCCCAAAATTCATGCAATAATTGTTGAATCAATTGATTTGTGTTTCTATTATTTGTCATTATGGTTGGATTCTCCTGTTGAGAACAATAGATGAGAGTTCAGTAACGAACAACCTGCACAAATGAATTGTTTAAAGTGGTCAATTACCTGTGTCCTGCAATGCCCATTCTCTCCATCATAGCACCAATGTCCTGGACTGGTGCAGTGTGTGCCATATGACAGACAATGCTACAATTCCAGGCTATTTGAATAAGAGCTTTCCATCTTCTAGCTGCATGTTGGCCATTGGCTCTGATAAGATCATCATCTGTCTTTTGCCAACCCTCTCTAGGCAGGTTTGAATTCAGAAACTCTGAATTATATATATATATATATATATATATATTGTTTACTATTTGCTATATTTATAGAGGAAACAGTAAGAATAGAGAATAGCATTTGATTATATATTTTTATTACTACAGATACTATTTTTAGTGGATCCTCATGTTTGATTAGACACTCCATTTATTTCAAACAGAATTTATTTTGTCTACTGGCCTTCATACTCAAGATTTTTCAATGATTTTTTTTCAACAATTTTTATTATTATCATACAGATCAATGCAAATGTTGATATTCATTTTGGTACTGAGCAGAGAGAGAGAGAGAGAGAGAGAGAGAGAGAGAGAGAGAGAGAGGAGGTGGGGAGAGAGAGAAACTATGGCATAGTTTGGCATAATTATCTTTGTTTTATGGAATTGCATATTTCTTCAGTCGGAACATGTAATGATATAAATTTAGAAATTGTAATATAAAACTGGAAGATTTCATGTAATATTCTGAGATAACAGATGACTGAAAGCAAAAATAATCATAGCATTTCTGACCAGAAAGAATCTTGTTATTTCATATTAGAAAAAAAATAACTGAGGAGCTGTTGTCCTAGACAGGCTAACTTCAGAATATTCCACTAGTGATCTAGGATCACTAGGACAAACATTTTGCAAAGTCCCCTTTCAGGATCATCATCAACTGCCTTATTTCTGCATTTCTTAAACCTATTCACAGGCTGAAGTCTCCTCACTTTCAATGGTAATTTTATATTTGGGAAAACCCAGGAATTGCAGAGATCCAAATCTGGACTCTAGGTAAAGCTAACAGACTTGGGTGAGGAGATGATTTGGTAAATAAAGCATCACTGAGAATGTGATGGTTGCACAGTACACAAGTTCATTCAGTAGTGTTACACTCTCAACTGATTAATAAATTAAACCAAAGCCAAGCAATTGATTCTTGAGATATTTCAAATGGTTAAATGCTTTCTGGACTATCCAAGTGTTTGTGGAAAGAAATTCTGGTGTCCAATTTGAATTTTACTTTTGTTGGAATTGTTGAAGGAGATGAGGCATCTAGAAATATTCTGTTCATCAATTTTGGATGTATAAATCACTCAAACCTGTAACCGAGAAAGTGGATCAACTTTCCAAAGGAAATCTATTTTTCATTTCATTGAGAAATATCAGTGAGTTGTGAGTTTTACTTCTATTTTTTCACTGATTATGTTTATCACAACTGATATTGTTGATATTTATGACTGAAGATAAATTTACTTAGTAAAGTCTTATTGATTTTGTGGGTTATTTATATTCAGATTTATATTCAGGTTATTGTCCTCATCTTGGTTGTTTTTAACACACTAGAGTCCAGTAGAAATGGGCAAGCAATAACAGAGCACAGTACTAAAAATAAGAACCAGACATGGGCAGTAAAATGAGAACAGTCTACACTATTTACATTATTCGGACTATTGTCCTCATCTTTGTTGCCATATTTATTACAATGTTTTGGCTGTTGGTGGTTGGAATGTCGAACTGAACTCTTTATTTCACTCGCTAGGGTAGACTGTTCTAGTTCCACAAGGCATGTCTAATGGATGTCAGTTATCAGTTATCTCCTGTTAATTCATCTCTCCAAGAAAAGTCTAACCCTGTAGACTAAATGAAGGGTTCACTTTAAAATTCCCTAAATGTTATCTGGATCAACAGACACCTGATGAAACCTGGAGGACACACCAGCCAATATGTAGTGATAACAACATTGATGTGGATAATAGTTTGAATATAAATAATGTACATAATGATAACCAACACAATAATAAATAATGAATTGAATTGAAATTACATTTCTCTTTTTATTTATGGTCACAAGTGCCAGTGACATAAAACTTAACTCTTTAGTCTAAAATCTAAAAAAAACTTATTTTTATTATAATGGATTCCTAAAAATGTAAATGATAAGGGATAGTAGACACATCAAAACTTTACCTATTTATTTGTGGGTTATACCACTTGGCTTTGCCAAAATGCCTGCTAGAGAGCACTCTGTAAATCTATAAAAGCTCTTTCTCTTTATAGCTGTTGCTTCCAGATGTAGTCAAATATAGAATAAGAATGCTGATGACAAGGTGTATTTGTTTCTTGGTGCTCTGTTGACTTTGAACTCTCTTATACATGCACATGTCTATCACACATGCTTGTTTTACACATACAAACAAGATGTGCTTATTTCACTTTGGGAGAGATAAGTCATGTGGGTCATATGACAGCTGCTTAATGATGTCACTTCATACAGTGACAAAAGCACTGGTCATTTTTCAGTTCATGGCCAGCAAGCAAATGGTAAGGTTGCTTTTGTTTCAGCCTGGCCCAAAGGACCCAGGCTGAGGCCATGTCTGCCTCCCCAGCAGCTTACAAGCACAAGGTGCCATTTCCTTTTTGGACAGATGAATACAACCTGTTTGAACCTGGAGTCATAAAAATGACTTCTCCAGGTCAGGAATATCTCCATATTACATGTAAGATGTTTTCTTTTTGTCCCTCCTTACACTTTGCTTTAGATTTATCTGATATATTGTTCCCTGTGTGGGACATGTGTATATAGTTTTGTGTATGTCTTAGTATTATAAAAGTCTCTTTGAGAACAAAGCATGTTTGACATTCTTTTTCCTTTCAGCCATTCCATTCTGTCCCATCTGTGAACTATGGTGTTGTTATATCACAGATATAATAATACCCATAATGAGAGAAATGTAAATGTGAGAATAAACCTTTCTACCATAGCTCACTCCTGTTACATCTACAACATTCAGCCTAATTCATAAACGTGACTTGAATGACTTACGGCATGAATTGGCCAAGATCCATAAAACACTCCCGAAGGAAAAATAATTAGCAAATGACCGACATAAATTCTGGGTTGGTCAGAAAATAGGTTATCTTGTAAAATATCAACAATAATAGTATCCTTACTTTCCCCAAGGAAGGATGCTGAGAATAATCAAAGAATTCTAGAAAGGGTAATTGGATGTTTGAGCGGTAATTTATAGCAAAAAAAAAAAAGGATGCCACTTAACTCCCCCCCATCAAAAAATTGTTTCTCCTTCGAAGGTAAAAAAAAAAAAATTTAAAAAGTGCCAAAATAACATTGATTGTTTTATATTGAGTCCCTCATAATTAAATGCAGAGATGAATAAATTGCAGGAAGAAGAGAGATCATTGTAAAAGTGAATCTGCCCCAGCAGAAATCCGTGGTTAAATGTTGGCATATGTAACATTCCTAACTACTCAATGATCCATTTATACAGAATGACAATAATAAAAATACTAGTTTGAATAATTAATGAAATATTGTGACAAGTGTTGTGCCATTGAATGATATACATCTTCCATCTTGACTGAATAATTAATGTAGGCACAATGAGTTACCAGGTTTTGGGAATAGTGAAATATTTGCTCTAAGAAAAACTCTATAAGAACATTGAAATACTGTACATATATTGCTAAATACAAGCCATTAATGAATCATGAGTAGTAAAGTAACAATAGAGAAAATTTATTGTGTGAATGTAGAGAGTATTCACATTGTCAGCATTATATATATATATATATATATATATATATATATATATATATATATATATATATATATATATATGTGTGTGCAAGTCTAAATCCTGCAATTTGATTTTCTCAAACTGTTTTATTCATATTTATTATATCTGTAGTGTTAAGACATATAATAAGTGGATTAGAATTTTTTTTGTTTTTATAACATATTCTAAACCTTAGATCCTTTGAGTGATGACATTTGATAATCTAACCAAATGATTAATCTAGCTGATAGTGTCACCATGGAGGCTGGACTGAAAGATTGGGATTGCATACAAACAAATGTTATCTGAATAAGTATTTTAAAATATTTAAAAATATATGCATGGCTAGCTTATGGTAGGGATTTTACCAAACTCCTGGTAGAAAAGATAATGAAAAAAAAAAAAAAAAAAAAAAAATGGAGGAAATTCAACAGAAGTAAAAGGATATGATCAAGATACAACAGTGTGTGTGTGTGAGTGGTGGGTTCAAATATGCCACACAGAAAACATAACAACATGTCAACTTACAAACTTTCTTTTTATTTCTTTAAAAAAATCTCCTTTGAAAATTCATTTTGGCCTTGTTTTGTTTTTTCCTTTTCATTTGTAGCTCATCTTTGTTGTCTTTTTACAAATATTAAATTAAAAGAAAATAATGAGAAAAAAAACCATAACAGAATCCAAATTGAAAAGAAAAATTTAGCACAGATTAATACAAGAAATTTTCATTATTTTTATTGAATTTGTCAATCAGAATGTTTGGTCGGATAAAGACATGTTTGATTTTGGTTGGCTTTTCTGACAGTTAAGAAAAACACTTTTCCAAACATCACACATTTTCAGTTAATATCTGGAAATTGTGTTAAGTCAGATTTCTTGATTGTATCATAGTCATTTCTTGAAGATTGCAGTTGCAAATGAATTGATATTAAATTGGTCCTCATTATTTATAAGTTCTACCAATGTGCCAGAGTTGAAAACCATCAAATGTTACAGTGTTCATCTTGTTCTGCTAAGAACTGACCAAGGAAACAGAATTCAAGACATCTACTGAAAACATTCAAAGGGAAAGGATTTCCTATTGCTCTGACTTGAGTGTTTTTGGTGTTTTGAGGAAAATGTCATCAATTCATTTTCATTTTTAGAATTGAAAAAAGTAAAATCTTTGTTGCCAAACAATATGAATCAATGTCTGACATTGAACAGACATTATTGGTCTTTAGGGATCAACTTCTGTGAAGAAGTGAAAATAGATTGTTGTAATATATGTTGTAGAGGTGTGTTTGCATATTAATGTTGTGTCTCTTGAAGGCTGTGTAGCATCAGAAACAGAAGTTATTATGAAGAAATTTATAATTTCATTGTCAATTCTTTTGTTGTGCTGGTATAACTAGCATTAGTTTCAGTCTTAAATGTGAAATGATAAACGCTTCCTCAATTATTTGCAGTTATATGACTTGCACAACACCTCTACAGCAAATACAAAAAAAATTTTACAAAATAGAAGAATGCTTTATTTTTCATCTTTTCCCTAATTTTACTTAAAAAATATTCTATTGTAATGAAAATTTTATTAATAATCTGTAAAAGCTAATATTTATAAGGGTTTTCTTAATGTAGTGAATTTCCTAAACTAATTAAAAAAATTATTTAAGCATTTGAACATCTTTTATTTTCATTCCATATTAATGTATAACTTCATGAGAAAAGATGCTTTTCAGAATCAAAATATTGTAGCATGACTCCAAAAGAAATTCATCTGAATTAATCTTTTACTGCCTCTCTTA